ATTTAATATGCCAACGATTGACTTTATAATTTGAAATTACTGTTTCATATGAAATATCTTTAAAGAACAGATTGTCCACTAAACGGTCAACGTGAAGTACTCTGAAATTAGTCCATATTAAATTATTTAATAAGTTTTATTTTTTTTCCAAAAGCATTCTCATACCAATGTAACTTAGTTCGTGAGTCAATTTAATATGTCAGAACTCATTTAACATATTTAATTGTATTTTAGATGTTACAGGCATCGGTGTCACCAGGGAATTATTTAAAAAATAAAAATCATTTTTGTATTCATCTTATTTAATAAATGCAATTTTTGCATGTAACTCCGGAGTTACGTCGATCATATAATTTAATGTGAAAAATTTCAATTCAATTTTATTGAAGTGATAAATAAAACAATTTCTTGCCCATATTCTGTTGAACTGAACCACCTTATGTTAAGGTTTCACAATAAATAAATATAAATTTATTTAATAAAAATTCACGTGTTTGGTATGCAATTGGAAATTTGAGGTGGAAACACCTTCCCGGATATGCGAATGTTTTATTCTTGTTGCGTGTATCCGTTGTTGCACCGCAGATGTGCACTCGTATATGTTAAATATTTTTGTAATACTTTAGAACGCATTTAAATGTTATCGACATGGAGTGCGACAGCGCTAGTGTAGTGGCTTTCATATGTTAAGTGTCCCTTAACGTGATCTGCAATTTATATCGAAGCCACCAATTTTTTATATTAATACTTTTATGCAGAATTTATTATTGGCATACTTGTCAGTTACCGCAGCGTCCCCACAAATTTTGCGTACTCGAATCTTGCCATATGTGCTTAAATGTCTTTTGCTCCGTATGACATTTCAGATACGTTACAAATTTATGTCGGTTAGATTGTCACTATAGAATAAATGACTGGCTTCACTGACAAGACATCTGGAAAATGTGGTTTTCCCACTCAAAGTGTTTGAACTCATTATCTCTCTATGCTAAGTTTTCCCCTAAAGAATTTGCGTCCAATCTAAGGGTTGCGTGCTATGGTAAATCAAATTTATACAGAATTATGTATTTAAAAATGTATGCATATAATATATATTTATATATATAATAATAAATGGAATACATACAAATCAATAGAAAAAAATACTTATGTATATACAAATCAAAAGGAAAGAAAAATCTTTATTTTTATTTAAACCGAAGGAATATAGACAATATTGACATAGTATTGATGTCAAATATTTACATACTTCCGTACTTCATAATGATGTTTACATACGAAGATATTTTTTTCTGATAAAAATCATAAGCAAAATATAATTGAATATAATTACAATGTATTGTTATTAATTAAATACAATTACATTCAAACAATTACATCTTCTCTCTACGAAAAGAATACTACTGAAATCTAGAAACAATGATAATAATAAGCTAATTTAATTAATAGATGGCAGTGATTCATGCTTTGATTTCAATATAACAAAGCAAGTGAATCTATTAATGATAATTAGTGACAAATTGTCAAAACTCAGTTGCATATAAACGTGACTCCGAACTTTAAATTTGACAGGGTTCACAAGTTGACACGGGCTTTCTAAGAAATTATTTACGAATGATGGGTGTTTGACAATACTTGAAACACTTTTATTATCAAACATAAATTTAATAATTAAAAAATAAAATAAAATTTATTATCATTTAAAACCGTTTTAATTAAGAAAATATTATTCATTTAAGTTTAATTTTTATTCATAACGTTTTCAATTGGTAAGTCTAGGGTAATTTTTTTTAATCGAGCTGCACTTTCATTGCATTTTTAGATTGGTAAAGCTGGGCAAAATGTTTAATACTCATGATTAATTTATAACACTCTAGATATTTCTAGAGTCCATCTAGCCCATCTAGATACTCTAGATATATAAGATCGATTTTAACTGATAATTTTATTCAAATTTCTGCTGTTTTTATACAATTTTTTTAGGACTTTTAGTCCCGATATAATGGAATTATTTTACTTAACATAACTTCCTAAATCTAGAATTCGTAACATAAACTATTTAACATAACTCTCTTGACATATATAATAATACATATAATATAATATATTGTATGTACATTATAAGAATATTTACGTATATATCTTTATATGTAGTTTTTAATAATGTTTCCATCTACCTGGAAAGATTTTGAAAGGGATGTGAACTATGTCACCACGCCAATACATCCTTTGTAGAGATGTTGCCTAATTTCATTATAAGTGGTTAGGCAGTTGATAAGTACCGAAGTCGGAATTTAGCAAGACTATCATAGTGACACATAATGTGTTCTGTTGTTTCCTCTTCTTTGTGACAAAGTCTGCAGTTAACGTCACTTCTAATACCTAAATTCAATAGCTGTTTCTTAACTGCGGAATGTTGAGTTAGAAATCCTATGACATGTCGGTTGCCTTATCAGCATTAGTAGCTTTCTAGTTCTGGCTTTTGATTGGTTCGGCATGCATTCCTTAGATTGTCTGCAGCCAATTACATTATTCCAATCAATCTGAGCTACTATTTCTAGCCACTCATTAATTTCGAATTTGAAAAACTCCATGAATGAACGCAGAATAGTTTTGGTCCAATATAATTTAAGGCAGCCTTTTTTTGGCTTGTTCATCGCCTTTCTCGTTTCTTTCAAATTCGCTTTATCCTGGAATTCATATTAAGTAGATTCTGTTCCTTCCAGCGAAACTTTGGGTTGAAGGCATTCGCACACTAGTTTTGAAGTCACTCGAGGTGAGCGGAGTGCTTGAAATGTTGAATTGTTGTCAGTGAAAATATATTAATATTGTTATATGGAGTAAAATTGCATACTCAGCATTAAAATGGAATCCACAAGATAGAAGGAATCGTGGACGGCCAAAAAGTACGTGGAGAAGATCGATAAATGGGGAAACCAACAAATCAATTAGCGAGCTTAAAGCATTAGCGCGTAAAAGGGGTGTCTGGAAAGTATATGTGAATAGACTACGTTCTTGAATTGTGATTGTAATTAATAGAACACGTCGTAATAATAATAATAATAATATGGAGTATATATATATAACAACATATAATATTGTTATACAATATATCTGTATGAGAAAGTATAAAGTATATGAATGGATACGTATATATATGTAATAACATATAATATTATTATACAATACATGTCAGCCTGTTAAGTAGTTATATATTATAGTCAAGCAGTAGCAGTGGTTAAGTTAAGCAGTCAAGTAAAAGTCGGTTAAGCAGTTTTATAGTCAAGTGGTAATGGTAGTAATAGTGAAGTGAGCAGTCAGCAGTCGGCAGTTAAGGAGTACGGTCGTGTATACATGTAGCATATATGAGAATGTATAAAGACGTACGTATATGAATGGATATGTATATATATGTAATAACATATATTATTGTTATAATATATAGTATATATACCTTATGAGTGTTATGTACACACTTTTTATATTAATATTTTATATTAATAAAATTGTTATAATATATAAGTACTTTATGAGAATGTACATATTTATTTACATATGTATTTATCTTTATCTTTGTATGTAGCGTTTAATGTTATTGTCTTATGGAGTATTTAAATTTAAGATAATTGAACCTTGACTATAAGACAATATTATTCGCTGTACAAACCCAGAGAAATAAAAGCAAATAAAAATGTTCGATCCCTGAAAGTTTAATTGTTAGAAGGAACTTTGGAACTCGTTTCGATTAATTGCGTGCAGAAATAGAAATTTCCTGTATTTTGTTTTGTTTTGATACTGGATTCCTTCAGTGCAAGACTAACTTTTGCTAGTGAAAATCGACAAAGGAAGAAGAAAGATTTTGTTAAAGTTTAAAATATTTTTAAATTAGAAATTTTATTTTCTATTGTAACAAAAAACAAAAAACAAAAACAAATAAAAAAATAAAATACAGAAAATTCGAAATTCTGTGTTTTGATATTTTCTTTTTGAATTGTTTAGAAACTGAATTATTTAAAACTTTTCAGTATGAACAAAAACTAAACAGATTTGCCATGTTAGGACAAAGTAAAATAATGTCCTTCTTAATAGAGCTCAACTTTTTAAATGAACCCTTACTGAAAGCTTTAACTAAAACTAAAAACAAAAATAGGTGAGCTTACTCCCACAACAGCTAAACTGAAGGAGTACTTATGTATATATATATATATACCAATATTTTTATATATCCAAATATGAATATATATATATGTGTTTATATATATATATGTATAAGTATGTATATATGGTTAGAATTCGAAGCAAATAATTCCCAATTCTCAATACAAAAGCGTACCTGATGCACAAAATTACCTTAAGGATTTACGATCATATTGATTGGTTGATTGGGTCGAACTCCTTCCGCTGTCGATGCCGCCACCGTTGCTGTTGCCGTTGCTGTTGCCGTTGCCGTTGCCGTTGCCATTGCCGCTGCTGTAGGGTTTTGTAAAGCAGGTGAAAGTGAGCAATACAAAACAATGTCTGTATATTTGTTGCGAAAGCATTTGTGCGCTTGTTGGTTGGTGGGTAAGTTTAAACATATTGGAGTGTAATTTTGTGTATTTGTTGCACATTGCAATGCAGATGGCACATTTAAATAAAGTTTTCACAAACTATTTTCGCACACACAATAAGTTGAAAAACTAAAAGTAGAAGAAAAAAAGAAAGGTACTTAAACTCCTAGTCGAAGAATAAAAGCCTTTGACAAGGATATAAAGTATGTGAATAGTGAGTAAATTTGAAAGCAGAGCAACAGAGAAAATAAAAATGCATGTGGTGTATTAAAATGTTTAACTGAACAAAACAAAAGAAAATCAAATAAAATTCTTTGGCAAGCATTGAAATTTATGCAGAATTTTACATTTCCACTTTGATTTTATATTTGAGTTTTTAGTTTTTTACCAAATTTTTTCTATATATCCCGCACACACATTGTTTCTGAATTTCCTTTTCACATTTTGCAGATAAGCCGCATTGGACCTTTAATGAAAGTGAGCGCATACAATTCGCCTACGTTGGTGGGACAGTAAACATATCATGCGAAGCCATGGGCGAACCACCGCCGTCTTTCAAATGGGTGCATGATGGCAGCGCATTAGCTGGTCGCAATTATCGTGTTTTCTACGCCGATTATGGTTCTACATTGCAAATCCATGTGAAAAACGAAACGCAATTTGGCGATTACAAGTGCAAAGTTTCAAATCCTTTGGGCATGTTGGAGCGTACCATTAATCTGAGCAAGGGACAAAAACCTGGCAGGCCAACACGCTTTCAGCTAAAACGCTTATTCGTTGATGGATTCGAACTAGATATTAAATCAGTTAAATACTCCAATGTGGAGGAAAACATGCAAATTTTTGGTTATTGCGTTGAGTACATGAGTGACAATGATTTCAAATACAGCGCAGGAAATTGGAGCTATGCAAAAAAAAAGGAATTCTCATTCCATCAAGGTAAGCCCAAACACAAACTTGTTAATTGCTTTCAAATAGTTTTAAGTTTGAACGAGACGGATTTATCTTCCTTTTTTCTCTTTTTGTTTTTTTTTTTGGGAGGAAATGGAGTAACTTAAGCTTTTAATAGTCATTAGAAGATGCATTTTATTCCTTATTTAATCCGTCCGATGATAGCTGTGTCCAGCCATGCACATGCATTAGCAAAGCTACTGTTTTTATAAAGATTTTTTTTTATATATTCTTGTATTTTTAATAAAAAATTACGTTAAGTTGACAACGAATATTAGAATTCGTTGTTTTTTTTTTTCGAAGCAGTGGAGCGTAGATCCGGAAAGCTTTTCCTGCTTTACGAGAATGTAGTGTATGAAATTCAATGCAAGCAGCAAAAATATTTAAAATTCTTACGTTTCTCTTTATGTGTCTCATTACATTACATATGTATATATACGAATACTTGTATATACATATTAACATATATATATACTATATTTATATATAATATGTACGCTAGCATTATATATATATATATATATGCGCCGACTGCAGCTTTGCTTTTTAAGGCTTTACGGCTAATATTTATTGGATATGGATGGCAATGGGTTCGACAGTTGGCATTCAATAGCACAAATCAAAATAAAAAACCGGAAATCGGATTATTCAACGAAAAGTTATTGCTTTTAAAAAAACAAAAGAAAATAAATAAAGAAACTCGCCTTTTTTTTTGTCCTTTGGTGCTAATAAATGCAACAATGTTGCAAGGTTAGTGGAAGGCAAAACTATTATGAATGAAACGGGATTATGATTAAAGATATTTTTAGCTTGCTAATGGTTTTTTAAAAGGGTCATCGAAATGATCAAGTTATTACATCAATATACTTTCAATTCCCTAAGAAATAGTTTTCCATTCGAAATAAATGCGACACTCAGCTTTAGCGATGTAGTAAAAGAAAATAATGAAAGTCTTACATTCTTCAGTTTGCCAATAACAGTTGAAAGGGACTTAAGTTATATGCAATTTCCAGATTAACATGGACAACCTATAAACAAACTAGATTTTGGGAACTCATTAAAAGATTCGCATTACTCATAATCCTCAGTGTAGGAATTGTGGAAACCTGCAGGAAAAAGAAATCATAAAACACTTTCTTTGTGAATGCCACGCTTTGGTGTCCAGAAGATATAGGTTTTTAGGAAGTAATTTTTTCGATAGTTTATCAGTAAAGACGAAAGAACTATTAAATTAACTAAATTCGACGGGATGGATTTACTCTATACTTCTCTATATAAGGCATTCGTGCGTAGAATGTGGTACCAAACTGCGAAAAATCGCTAATTGAGGTACATGGAAGTTATTTGATGGCCTGCCACTATAATCAACCATATGTACACATACAAATTTTCCTTATCATTCGTAATTCATCGTCTGTTTAATAACATGAAAAATATTTTAGATGATTGAAATGAGCAGAAAGTAACACTTCCAAGTAAAATTCTAGCTAAGAACCTAGTTGTGAGTAAAAAGTTCGGAATTCGAGTGAGGCTCATTTCTGCTAGTATTCCGCATGTACTTCGCTCAATGAGGGAAACCATAAACTACAAATAATTCAATAAAAAAACTTTTTGAACTCCTTTCATGGGATATACGCAATTTTGATTAGACAAAACTTTATTTTGCAAATATTCATTTTATAATGCTGATCTCCTTTACATTCGTTTAATTTCTTTTAATTTTGTGAAGTATATTTTCTTTGCATTTTCATTCTTAGTTGTGGTAAAGTTCATCTTAAACATTTCCATTGGGTGCATTATGGAGTTTTGTTTATTTGAGTTTTGTTCGCACTGGGCATTATATTTGAAGAGTTTCTTAACTTATTTACTTTGCGAGTGAATAGTATAAGATGAGAAGGTAATACCAAACTATGATCCATGATAACGTATTACCCAACCACTTTTAACTTGGAACTTTGCAAATATTACTGACCAATGACTGCGTTTAATAGATAAGCACAATTATTTTTGTTTTCTTCGTTGCCACAATTTTCAATGTATAAAATTTTTCTACAAATAAAAATAGTTATTTTTCTCTTATAAACTTTATAATTTATTAATCAAGTGAACTGACCTTTCGTAGAGTTTATTCTTTCCCTTCCGAAATTCTACTTATTGTAACAGATGAAAGGATTATTAGAGTTTGTAATCCGAGCAAATGAAAACATAAGTGAAGTGTGTTTTCAAATAGTATATATGTCTTTGCACAAATATGTAAGTAAACATACACTTAACTATATATAATAAATAAATATAAATAAAAGTAATGACATGCACATAAATAATAATCAAATAAAATAAACAAAATTTTTAATCATCTTTTATTTATTTATATTCACAGAATTTTTTAGTCTGTACATCAAACGATTAAAAAAAAATAATTTATTTATATAAATGAATTCTGAATCGTATTTTTCTTTTTTTTTTTAATATATTATTTGAAATTTCTATTAAAATATTTTAAATCATTTGCATGCCGCATAAGTGCTTTAAAGTAATTAACGAATATTGCATCAAATCAATTTTAATTAAAGCAAAAATTAACAATAAAAAAGCACTTCGTAGTTTGCAGAATAATTAAATAAAAGCTCAATTCTGTAAAATTCAATATATTTCCAAAGACACAAACTTAATTTAATTAAAATAAAATAAAAATATAAAACTAATTGAATCAAGGCTTGTTCTACTTAATATAATGAATGCGTAGACATGAGTTCTGAATACTAATAAACTCAATGGAAATTAATCAATCAGGATCAAATTCATGAGGAATTATTTTTTTATTTTTTTTTCAGCTTATATTACTGTCACTAATACATTTGATATAAAACGCATGTTGGAAAAAGGATAAAAAGACTAATAAATTAAATAAATGGTTTTTATAAAGGTTTTATTTGCTATTTCATACATTTGATATAAATTTAGACATAGTTTGGCATCTCTCAGACTAATTCAACTGGAGCTGTTTAATGTTTACCTCTCTCTCATGGTTAGTTTTCCTAATGGATTTATTAATGATTCTTTATTTACAAAGTAATTAATATTACTAAGTTGTAGCTACTGTGATAGGAATTATAATTCCCAGAAAAAGAAAAGGAACTACCAGCAAAAACTTTCTTAAATTCTATGTGTAACCGACTGTATTCTTGGGTTAAACGTATAGCTGCTTTGAAAACTATCAAATATTTATCATCAAAGATTGTTGAACACACCTACGGGTTTATTTCTTCTTCATATAATTTTCTCGATAGCAAGTTACGAGCTTGGATTCTAACGTGTAAGACCAATATCTTAATGAAACTTCAAGTTTTGTCAGTTTTTGTTGACAAAACTGTGCTATTTTTAGAATAAACGCATAAACAACAGCTATATAAATTTACTTAACTATTAGAAATATACAGAAAAATATACAGAAAACGTGCAAAAAAATGTTCAACAATTATTTTATGCCTTACTGCTTTAAAAGTAAATCTTTTTAATTACAATACAGCTATGTTAACTATGGTTAACCCAATTCTCCTTACATATTTTCTAAACTGAATTGTGTATTGCCTTACTTCAAATAATTATATTTTATTATCATATATGGTACGATATCTCTCTTTTAACTATACCTGCCACAGTTGTAGAGAGGACGATAAAAATGCCTCCCATCTGCTTTGTTTCTGCCCAGCATATACACGGTATCGCCTTATCACTTTAGGTGCTTTCTTTTTTGAGAATCTTGGCAAACTGTAAGACCTTCCTCTGAAAAACATTATAAGCATTGCGAAATGTTCTAAGTGGTTCTAACCCTTGAATTTTTAATTATACGGTAACACAATGGATCTAAAATACTAAGCGAAACCTTTGGGATCGCCTAACCTAACATAATTGGTACAAAATAATATTTATATGGGGCTTCGTTAGGTAAGTATGGTACCTGATTATTTATAATCGATGACTTCTTACGTTTTTGAGTTCTTATTCCTGTAAAGTTTTATATTTTTTTACACATACTTTTAGAAAAAAAATATTTCGGGTATATTTTATACAGAATATATATATATAATATACACGAGTAAGTATCTTCTATTATCACATTTCATTTCTCCAATTTTGATGGGAATGCATATTTAGACATAAGAAAAGACAAAATCTGAACGTTTTTCTTCTGAACGTTTTTCAAGTCATCAATTCCTTTTTGTATGAGTAGGTTATAAAAGTGGTAACAGATGCAGAGATACAGCTTTTTACAAAATTCGTGAAAACGATTTCTAAATTTTTAAGCTTATACCTATTTGCCATATTTATAATATATAGTAAAATATATAAAATATATTTTATTAAATTTTATCAAAACTTACATTTCTTGAGAAAAAAAATTTAAGAATCCAATTTACAACTTCGAATTTCCTTTATAATAGGTTATATATTGACCTGATAACAAGAGGGCAGATTGTTGAGGCAAAACAGGTGATTCTTTCACAAGTCGCAAATCATTCTGTGAAAAGATGAGAGATAAGACAAAGCGTAAAAAATATTAAATAAAGGACAAAAAATAAAAAATAAAATATAATAGATAAAATATAAAACATATAATATAAAAGATAAAAGATAAAATATATAGGATAAAAAATAGAAGATGAAACATAAATGACAAGAGATAATAGATAAAGGATAAAAGATAAAAATTTGAAGATAAAAGGAAAGGCAAAAGATATAGATTTATCTTTAAATAGTTTAATGATTATATATACTTCTGCTAATATGTACATATAGTTGTACATCGGCAACTTTAGTTACAAGCGAAATATTTCAAATAATATCAATCAGCTATATAAATAAAATATCCTTTTTGAGATAATTTTTAGGTTTTTTAGGTTAATTTGGTTTTCAATAGGCCTTCATCTGTCACTGCCAGTCTATGGTAATGTCTATGCTAAGAGTTTTTACTAAGTAAATGAGAATATAGATATACTAAACAACTAATTCTACAAATCTGTGGCGGAAATAGAGCCACAGATATAATATAATTAACATTAACTAGTTAGTTTAACTTATTCAGTATTTCTAAGTTAACTTACTGTGAAGGGTTTTAATAAAAATATTTCTTAATATTTAATTGAAATATTTAATTTTTTCTGTTGTATTAGATATTTTTCCCAAAATAAACCCCAAAACTTTATAGGATTTAAAAAGGTCTACTACTCCATTTTTTTTTATTTTGACGTTAATTATAAAGAAAGGAACTGTTTTTTTAATAGAAATGATTGTTAATAATTAATAATAACAAATAATAAAATTTTTCGAAATAAAATAAAATTTACTACTGTTGAAAAAATTTCTCTATTAAAATTATTTTTTTTTGTTTCACTCAAAAAGCTCTCGTCTTAACAATCTTAATTTTATTTTACTCTCAATAATTAAAATTTATTATAAAATTTAATTCATCTTCTTCTTCATGACTTATACATTATTGTTTATTGAAATTATTTTTAATTTTTATTAAATTTCGTTTTAGGTAACCGATTCATCATAGTCGGTCTAGACCGAAATACAACTTATTTTTTGCGTGCTTCATCAAGGAACTTAGCTGGTTTAAGTGATTGGACTCCAGTCATGCAATTCGCTACATTATCTAATTTCTCCATAAAATTATCAAACGTCTCGATATGGAAGACGTGTCTCGTAGTTCTCGTAGGATTTATCGTCGTAAACCGTTTCAAGCATTTCTAAGCTAAATTGTTTAGAACTAAAAACCGTAAACAAAACAATAAAATCAAGAACAACAACAAAGTAAAAATATACTATAAACCTAATCTATACTTATTGTAATCGTCAAAGTTATTATCTCATTTATTTTGTCTGTACCTGATTTATTTCGTATACTTAAAGTTTGAGGAAAATACACGAAAATATTTATTTGTATTTCTGTGATAGATTTAGTCAATTCTTTGAACTATGATTTCGCACTCAAGAATCGACGACCGACCGATTTGTTTGACAAATTCCGCATTTCCATTAATTAAGACATAATTTCTATTTTTATTATATATAAATATAAATATATTTATTTAATATGAGTCTATAGTTACATATATATGTGCGTGGTTATGTTAGTTGTTAAAGCTTGATTGTTACTAATTTAAAAGATTATTGCCATCATTAACGTTAATTATTAAGAATAATTTTGATACCAAAGTTTTTCATTTTTGTATGAAATTTATTGATCAATGTTAAATGTAAAACATAAGAAACATAAGACAAACTTCGAAGATTTTACTAATGCATAATAAGTCCAAATAAAGTAAATAATATTAAATTATAATATTGTACGAGAAAAATTATGAAGAAATAAATATAGCTTAAATATACTTAAAATACCAGAAACCAAAAATGATTATGAGAATTGATGACATTACAATTAAGTAACGCAAAAATAATTTAATTTAATAAATTCTATTGAATGTGAAGATTTTTTGGTGTTTTATTTAAAGTTCTATTACAGATCTTACTATACTAATGAATTTAACACGATCAGTGCAGTAAAATTTTGTGCTACTCCAATTGCATCACATTATTTACTTTCTTCTTAGATTGATAGAAGTATTATAGAGGGTCTTGACAGACAGAAGTAATTATTTCTTGCTCAACTTAAGTAATTTCAATACGGCTTTTGAAATGATGATATGTGAGAAAGTGTGCCAATTCTGATATTACTAAGTTATCAGACACCATACAAAATTTCATCTTTAAAGGACTATAAATAAGAAGTAAGAATATCAGTACAGAATGGTTACAGGGTTCTCGGGGAAATATGCAGATCTGAGGTCAATTAATGCTTAGTCTGATGAAATGATAAACAGTACACCAGTCAAGGCATAGAGGGGGGTCTTGAAGAAAGCTTGCAGTAAATAAAGAGTGAAGTGCAGTGCTCAAGTGCAGTGATTCAACTAATATTATTATTTGAAAGTGCAAAAATTAACAATAATTGTGTTTAGTTTAGTCATCATAATTCAATTTGGATACAGTTTTTTTAAAAACTCTTCCATGATGTTTCAAAAAAAAATTGGTTTGGTTCTGAATTTAGGAAGACCAATTTCTAAACAAAAAAATTGGATTTGTCTCTAAATTTAGAAGGATCAACTTTTTTATTTAAATTTGATGTTTTTTGTGTCACTGACCTACTATTCTAAAATATTGTAATAAGTATAAGTATTATATTATAACATTTATAGTGTTAGTATTTTACTGTTTTATTATAGTAATATAATAAAATAATTATTATAATTATAATATTATTATATAATAAAATAATATTAATAATATTATAAATTATACATAATGACTGCATAAATTTTTTGTAGAATACTCGCCTAAAAGAATTAGATTTATACTTTTTTAACAATAGCATATAAATGCATACAATTTTAAATTTTGTTACTCATACGCACCGAAGGCCAGGTTCTCAGCCTTCAGTTGTATGATTTGAAAATATATTACTAAAAAATGGCACAAGGTAGCTGCAAACTGTTTTATCAGCTTTTGTCAATATATCATGTTATTTGAAAAAAAAATTTCTTTGTTTTTTAAATTTAGGATTTAAATATATTTTTCAGAAACAGCTTCATTCTTAAGCGATTATTGGCGCAAGATATATGATGTGAGAAAGGACTCGTTAGTGAGAAAGTTTTGATAGTTCAAACAATATTTTTTATCTATTATTTTATTAAATGTAGACATGATCACGAGAAATCCCTGGATTCAATGTCTAAACTTTGCTCTGACACATTGACGTCTGTGATACATTTTAAAAAGGATCGATATTTAAAGCGAATTACATTTACATATAAAAAATAGGATGTTAATAAAAATTTGACATAGGGTATATGAATAACATATGAATAAAAAAATTTTGCTGCATCTTTAGTCGGATTTAAAAAAAAATCATTGTTTTTCTAGCTTTTACCAGACAATATCACGTTCGATTGTAAGTGGTATTGTCATTGGTTAAACAAATTGAATAACATAATCAAACAAAAATGATCAGAGTTGCTAAAAAGGAAAGGTATGATGTTTCACTACCATAAAAAGATATATCAGCCAAATTACCAAAAATTTTAACAATTTGTTTATCATTACAATATGTGCTCCAAATCTAAACACTTTTGAGAATTTTCTGTTCCGGTCTTTAAGTACTTATCCTTCATTACGTATGGAAGCCAAGCATGACTAAGATTAGTGATTGTCGATAAATACTACTACTTTTATGAACATGGAATTTAACAACTGCTAAAAAATTCACAGAGGTATTTGACCAGTATTAAGAATATATTTTTGAAAAATGAACAGAATTACTTTGGTTTACTAAAAACAAAAAAAAATAAACTAAAAATAGTTTAATGAATGTGAAAGTTTACAATTCTAATTTTCTAGTATTCAAAAAAAAATATATACATTTTAAAAGTAGTTGAATAGCAAAGAAAAGACAAGAACAAAAATTTAATTAATTTATTGAAATTTGGCTGATCATATAATGCTATTTCGAATATTGTCAAGTACTAAGTGGTCTTAACAAATATTTGAAATTTTTTTAAATTAGTTTAGAACTCATACCTGAGAAGAAATATATATATATTATATACATGTGTTTAATTGAATTTCCGAAACATACACTAATAGCGTTGTAATTTCATATTTAAGTTGAAAACTAGTGTAAAATAAAAAGCAACTGAATTTCTGGTATTTCAAAAATATTTTAAATACGTGCAGATTAAATATGAAAATATAAAGCTTTTAGTACGCGTTTTGAAAATTTATATTAAACTCATTTTTGCACTTTCTGTATGACGTGTGTATGAACACGTCAATATGTAAACACATTTCCATTTTTAATTTATAACAATTTACATTTTCATCGCAGTAAATGGTGACCTCTGCAAAGCTTCGTTAATGTTGGTCTTAAATGGAATCTCATAAATATTGGATTCGAAGTTCGCATTTCATTGCTTCTGGGCAAAGTCGAGTTATGGTGTACGATGAATGAAATGTAATGAATCTTGCATAGACTGATATATACTCATAACTTAAAAGCTCACCCATCCACGCAATGGAGCGTAAATAAATAAAATGACTTATAATTTGCATTTCAATTACATCTTTAAAGTTTAAGTTAAAACAAATAATTTCAAGAAGAAATATTTAAGATGGCTATAATTTATTTTTGCAATTTGATTTCAATAACTCCAAACTATACTTTTCATTCCCTTCTCCTTTCAATATGGACTTCCATACTTGTATGTTTGTATTGCGATAGCTGCATTACCTTTTAAACATACGTAAAATACAGAGGAATAAATTAATTTGTAGGCTTTAATCCTGCCACTGCAGCAGAAACCGAAACAAGCAGATTTCAGTGCGCGAGATGAACTTATGGGTTCGCACTGTTTTCCTTCTTTCCTGTCCGTATTCTATGCTCTGTGCTTTGAGCTCTGAGCTCTGTACACTGTACACTGTACACTGTACAGTGTACACTATAAACTGTGCTCTATGGACTGTGGACTGTGTTCTGTATTTATTATTGGTTGTTTATATTTTCATTAGTGGCAATTAATTTACTTTTTAATTCTTCACTCTTTGAAGGTCTTAATTAATTGTTATATGGACTTTACTTAATGTCTTTATAATGACTGCTGACCAGTAAGCGGGTAATTTACATGTTGGAAGTGTAAAAAAGGATTAAGCATGATTTTAACGGCATTTAAATAGTTAAATGAATTTAAGATAGGATTTATTATTCTATTATAAAGGATTATGTTTTAGATTAATTTGGTTTAGTTATCATAAATTTCGGTGACTTTAAGTAGACAAATCAAAGGTATTGCTTATATTACATCGGTTGAAATTTTATTTAATTTAATATTAATTAATATTAATTTTAATTATATATAATTTTTTTTAATGTATTTAAACAAAATGTAGAGTTTAAATGTACAACAACTAGTTATATTGACTAACAAGAGGTTTTTTAATTAATATTACTAGTAAGTTTACTTATCTAAAGTGGACATATAGATCTGAGCTAATCATCTCCTTGCTGATTGAAACGCTTCAAAAAGTTATTTGGTTTTAGCCGGTATAAGCGTCTGTGTGTGACATCGCAAAGTAACGCCGGAATGGTGCTGTTTAACTGTTGTTTCGGCCTGTCATAATGTGTATTTCTTGCTTGACAGTAGGTATTTCAAGGTCACGATGTAGATCAGCATTTCGCACATACCACGAAGCGTTAACTGCATCCCTGAGTGCTTTGTTTTGGAACCTTTGCATCATATCTATTATATGTTCTTTTGCACAGCCCCAAATTTGGACACCATAAGGCCATAACGGCTTGAAGATCCAGTATGGCTCCTTCCAATAAGCCAAGTTAGCTTTTTATATCTTATAATTAGCCCAGTTAATTTTTTCTTTACGTGTGCCTTCCATCTCAGCTTGGCATCTAGGCTCATGCCCAGATATTTCACCAAATCAGCAACTGGAATTTTTACGCTATTTAGAAATAATGGAATTTAATTTTCTCTTTTGTTAGTAAAGTCTGCGTGGTTAGAACTATTTACTGTCAGTTTCCATTTATTTGTACATTCTTCAATTTCTTGAAGAACGATTTGTAGCTTGGTGGTAGACGACACCTTGTTGTTTGGATAACAATATTAATTAATAATAATTTTAATAATTTTAATTGAGTTTAATTAATTTTAATTTATATATTATAACGAATAAAAGTAAAGTGAAGATTCTTCAAATATTCAAAACTTTTTCAATAGAAAATATATGTATCAACCTTTAGTTGTTTTCGTGTAATGGTTAATATATATATATATATAATATATATATATATATATATTAATTCGTTGATTGATATACAGTACAATATAATATATAAGATAAAATAATGAAAAAAAAATATGTGTTGTTATAAGAAAAAAAAAATTAAAACTCTGATCTAGTATCGCAATGAGCCTTAGTGGTCTACGCGTGGCCTTTTTGGTCTGCCAGGGGCTTGTTGTTTTTGCTCAGGTGTGAAGTAATGAATCCCTATTTCATCAATTGCCACCACTCAACTCTTCTTGGTCACAATCAGCTACATTGTGCATAAACATTTCCCAACAATGTTTTGAATGACGAAGTCGTTGTGGTTTTTGGACTTCGGTTCGGTAGGATAATAAACAACAGTTACGAGAAGGAGTTAGGAGCATTCGAGAGAAAAATTTTTCGGAAGATGTAAACGTATAAACGCATGAAATTGGTGCAAGCGGTCAAGCTAGCGGCTTTGCTAGCTTGGTCATGTCATGCGAATGGAAGAAAGTGCTCCGGCTAGAAAGGTGTTTGATTCAGTACCCGCAGATGGAAAATGCGGTAGAGGACAT